AGCACGGCTATCTGTTCTATTATATATGTATATGGGTAACAGAATTCAAAGAACATGTAACAACATCTTCCACAATTCTTGACTCACTTTTGCAGCAGCCATCAGGGCAGACTCAGAGACAATTTTGTTGTAAGGTTTAAAAAGCATAATATTTTGGTTGAAACATTTTGTTCTTCAATTCCATATTTTATTTTTATGCTCAATAAATCATATTTGTCATTTTTCAGTTTGTGTCCCAGATGGTGAGAGTCTGGAGCGTTAAGAACACAGTGAATGATCCACTGAGTAAAGGGTGGGACACACACTGGTGTGCCAGAGATGTCAGAAAGCAGAGATATGTTTGCTCTTAAAACAGCTTACACCCACTTGTGACAGTTCAGGTCTCATACACTGATTGGTCACTAGCACTTCTGTTTGATGTAGGTCGTGCAGCCACTGTGTCTGAACTTGATAAATAATTTTAAAAAAAACAGCACAGTTTTCCTCTCTTAACTGCAACTCCAACATGCATCCTAACCAGGCTGTGATAACAGCAGTTTCCTGCTCCCTCCAAAATCACTAAATATTTTACTAAAAGTCACAGCTAAAGAAATAATTTTCATATTAGATTATGAATCGTTTACTGAATCTATTCAGTTACTGAAACAACATATGAATAACTAATAGCTCTTATGAGTGATTCTTTTGATGAATAAATAAAAAAATGTGGTTGCACATTACACTATTGTTCAAAAGTTTGAAGCCTGTGAGATTTTTTCATGTTTTTGAAACATGTCTCTTATTTAGTGGTTGACCGATATATCGCCACGGCCGATACGTTTTTTCTGATTGGCCAATGTGTTGGAAGCGGGACTTACTTTTATTTTGATGGGTGGTGCCGAGAACACCCGCGCCTGAGAAAAGAACGCCTGCCTGATCAGTCATCACACAGCGCTCACTCACATTCTCCGTCTTCATTAGTTCTCGATCTCTGTCAGTCATATCTAATACTTTGTTTGACAGAACTGGGGGCTACAGAACTGGTAATCAAATAAAGTAAATGGTATGTGAAGAAGTAATGTGTCTGTAATTTGTAACAAAAAAGGCAAACAATCTGCCTAAAATACTTTCTCATTTACCGTCAACAATCAACATTCAGCAAATGCGCATCTACATCATATAAACAAATCTCTGAATATCTAATAAACATTTAATTTCACAAACCTTGCAGATTTAATCGAATCCAACTTGGTGGTATCTTGTAAGTGTGCATTTGTAGCTGGCATAAACATGTTGTGCGAGTGATGGTCCGTGCGCAGTGAGTGAATGCGAACAGAAGATCAGCTTCACAGGAGAGGCGATCGATACATTTTAAATCCTTTATTTCAAAATATGATGTGCTATATCCAGTTGTCCACTGCGTCATATTTATGTCGCTTTTAATGTGTGCTGTATGTAAAATTAGCGTTACCTTGTCAAAAGTTAAAGTAAAAAAAAATTAAATAATAATAATAATATGATTATTAGTGCATTACCAGATTAAATGAAATATTGATATATATATATAAACTGTGTATATATATAATTAAAAATATAAATATCGGCTTTATATTGGCCATTGGCCGCCCTGCTCTCTCAGATTTCAGTTGAGAGCATCCTGATTGGCCGATTGATAAAAATCGTGACATTAAAATTAAAATTGATTGATAAAAATCGTGACCTTAGAATCGAAAATGTAATCGAATCGAGGATTTGGAGAATTGTGACACCCCTAATAACAATACACTACACACCCTTGCCACTAACAATAATATTATATATATGTAAAAAAAAAAATAACGGATTTTTTTTTAAATCCTTAAAGGACAATGGTGCATTGGGGATGAAGTTCTGGCTCAGAGCCAGCCTCACGTGTGAAGCTTAGCCAGGAGTTCAGTAACACTGCCAGCTCTGATCATCAATGAGTAAGGAGCCTCATTCAGCACCCTGGCCACAGACTATAGCAGTATGCATTAAAGAGGCCAAGCTATGAGTGACACAGAGCTGTAGATTATCAAAGGATCATTCCCATTGCTTTGGGAGTGCTGACCCATTTTTGGTCCCAAGTGGAAAGGTAATGGGTAACGGCTTGGATCTTTGATATTTCTACCAAAGTATTTCTGCTGGCATTCCGATACCTTGTTGAGTTGCTAAGCAGAAACAGAACCGTTCACTTTTCTCCACTTTCAGAGGAATGTTCACAAGCCTGAAACATGCCTGTGTCATGTAAGTGAGCCTCCCACTCCTCCTCCTCCCCCAGCTAAAATCATCCCTCCAACCCCCACAACCTTTCGGCTCAGAGAGGAAATAACTGCTTCACGGGCTACATGTGAAGACTTCAAGATCCACGGTGGCTAATTAAGACCAGTGAAACATATCTTGGTGTCGACTCTGTGTGCCACTTTACATGAAAGATTGTCACACAATAGCAGTGAATCTGATTTTATAGTAAGACAATTTAATCATTCAGAGCTGAAGGAAAATGTCTAAAGAAGTCTAAAGAAGTCAGTTCAATTGGAATGGTTCAGCTTACACACTATGTACAAGTCTGATGAATCCTTCACTGAATAAGCCTGAGATAATACTGAATCTGACTCACTATAATGTCTAGTGAGAAAAAAAAAAATTCTATTTAAGGGCCTTTGTGGGCTGTAATCAAAACGGTTTCACTTTATTTGGATGGTCCCTTTAACACATTTAGTTGACTATACAGTAAGTAACGTTGCACCTACATCTCTACTAACTCTCACTAGAGTGTTAGTAGAGTATTACTGGTAGGGTTAGGGGTAGAATAAGTTGCAAAGTTAATTATAGTCAGTAGAATGTCTGCTGGAGGAGCATCACATTAATGAGTTAGCAGATATTAAGCAGACAGTCAATTAATACTCTAATGAGAGTTAGTTGACATGTAGTTGCAAAGTTACTTATAGTCATCAGAATGTTCAAAAGGGACCATCAAAATAAAGTGCTATCATAAAAACATATAGCATGCTGTGTAGACCAATTAATGAGCAAATTCAACTTTTAAGCAGTAATTTAGTGATCATTAAAAAAGAATTGCAAAAAGTCATGAATGACCAATTTAAATTGGTTTGACAAATTTATTGAATGAATCTTAGAAATCATCAGGGGGCTTGCTTAACTACCGTAGAACAATGCATCATTAAAGAAATCAACCAGCTACTCAAGAATGTTGCAAATTTTTAGTTCAACCATGTTGGTGGTGATGGTGGTGATCGCAGGTGGTGATGTAATAACTACTTCTAATGAATCCGTTGATGTTTTTCTATAAATTACGGGCATCTGAGGACTACTTACTTTTTCTTTTTTTGCTTTTTTTTTGTTGCTTTTTTCCAGTTTCAAACATAGGTTCCTTCCTGCGTACTAGAGCACATACGCACATGCACACTCAACAATGGTGTTTTTTATCTATTGATAAACTAAGAGACGTTAATGAAATTTGTATACATTCTAAATAAAATATATAGATTCTACTTAATGTCAGCTTGCTTATTTTGTTCAAGATAAGAATTTATTAAGTCCACATGTCAAGCAAACAAGAAACTAGCTGTCGTTCAGACCACACAACTTTGCGGTGCTGTTTGCGAATGTTCCTTGGAACTATGGTTTCAGGAAACAGACTCCTTGAACTATGATAATGATGTTGATAATGATGGAATTTGCGACCATATTGGCAAACAATGCTTTTGGGAAATGCACCCCAGAGCAGTTACTGAATCAAGATCTGAATCAATATAATGACTAGTGAGAAAACACGACTTTCAATTGAGTTGTTCTAGCAGGCTACAAAAATAACAAATATACAGCATGCAGTAAAAGTAGTCTGATTATATTTATTATTGATTGATTTAAGTTTTTTGTTTTGTTTTGTTTTGTTTTTTTTTACTGAGGTGGTCAGAGCAAAGACAGCATGTCATTCGCAAGTCATATTTAGTCAAATTTCTATGGTTTTATTGCATCCTAAAAAATAAAGCATCCACTCAAAATGCTAGTAATATCTGACAAACAGCTTCTTTTACATGGCTGTACAAAATATCTTTTTGTAAATTTTCTATTGGAAGTCTATGCGAAATTGATTTTCCCAATTTGACCTCTCTATTTATTGTTGAAGAGCAAAGCTTTCCTCTGATGTTAGACAGGCCCTGGGGAGAGCAGCTTCATCCTATTTGTCAGCTTCCCGGGGTGATCCACAGTTCACTCAACTCTGAAACGCAGTGATACGCACTCAACTTGCGTATCACTCTGTACACTAGCCTCAAGCTCACATAGTCGTTTGTGAGGAAGTGGAAAGACCAAAATACACACAGCACAATGCACAATTTCCATGAATGATCTGATTTGTAAACTACCAGGTGAGTGGATTTGTACCATCCTCACCACAGTATCGGCTGAAAAGGAAATTAATCACTTTTCATTTGAGCTATAAGCAATATTTTAAAACTTCTGAATAACTTTCAGACCATTTCTCACACAAAGCTATTGGATGGCTTTAGAGGGCTTGTAATTTAACAAATGGCTCTGGACTGCTTGTATATATTTTCGCAGTCTAACATAACGTTGGTTTATATTTGTTTATATTGAATATGAAATGTAATATTGCTCTATTGCTTGTTTTGAGAGTCATGAGAGTTAGTAGACGAAGGAGTGAGCGGTCCCTTTATAGTATAGAAATAAAGAAAATGCCAAACATAATGCAAACTTTAAATATTATGTGGGAGGGGGTGGAAAGGAATGACTCACCACTAAATGCCAGTGAGGATTTCCATAAAAGTTTACAAACCAAACTGCATTGGCATTATGAATTACGAAAATAGGCCAAAATAGATTGTAAGCCATTATACTAACTACACAAATCCAACACTTTGCAGTTTCCGTTACATTTTGTCATTTGTGCCAGGCCCTGTGCCAAGTTCATTTCAAAAGTAATAGAAGTAATCTACTTGGAAGGAAACAACACTCACCAGTCCATCACAGTTGTTTATAGCAACAGAAGCTCCAGGCACATCCGTGATGTCCCCTATAAAAGTGCAGTCTGTTTTCAGCAACTCCCTTCTAAGTATTCTCTCTGAGCGGGTTCCATTCTCAGTTGCATTCCCAGCTATTTCGATTTCATCATGCCATTCCACCATAGATCCGGGAGCCACTAATCTTTGGTTGGGATGTAGTCGGAGGTGGAATTCCTTGCCAAAGACAGTGATGTTAAAGAATAGTCTGTCTACCGCTTGCGTTGACCCTTCCAAAAGCTCGCGCTTCACACGCTGCTTGTGATTGGCTGAGAGAAGATGCGAGAGGTAGTGTCCCTCTGCATCCGTACTGATGGGAGTAATGAGGCCATACTCTTTCAAACGGATCTTCAATGAGTCTGATAAAACAGAAGACAAACATGTAGAATTTATCTTGATTATATTAGAAATGTAAATACATGCAAGTCCTCTGCCTGAGAAATAATTGCTCTAGTCTAATGAGTCAATTTTTGAATAATAAAAAAATAAGATTTTCTACATCAGTAGTTAAATTCAAAGTGGTTGAAAAAGTGCACTAAACTCATCGCTGCAGGTTGTGATGTTGACACTACTTTGAGTTTACTTAAATGTATGGGATCAAGTGCGAGTTTTTATGGTGAACAATCAACTTCTTAAAGTTATCCCACTGTTCATTAAAAAAGAGAAACAAAATAAATGATTGTAAGCTGACTAAACAATGTATTATCATGTGCAATTGTCATTCCCAAATTTAATTAAGAGACTATTATTATAGGTGTTAATGTCTGTTAAAAGTTCTATTGGCTTGCATTATCTCTTAGGGTGCCCAGGGTGCATTAACAATTCTGATTAATTTTCTGATTGAAATATTTGTCATTAAACATTGAGAGGAGAAAATGCAAATAATAACAGTTAAACACTACTGTGCTCTCTTACTTTGAAGCTGTACATAAATTATTAAAGCATCAAAAGTTATAAAATTACTTTCACCCTGCAAAACAATTTGAGAAACAAAACGAGCACAATATAATTGGACAAAGTTTGGGGACCACAAGGTTGTATACTTTACCTTTTTTATCTTTAATTTCACCAGCCTGCAAGAAAGAGAGAACAAAGAGATAAAGAGACGATGCATAAAAAATGCTGCAAAGACATTTACAAAAAATCTGAGAAAGGCCATTGGTAGAACGAGAGAAACCATACTGGATGTAAAACTATCAAGAGTATAAATCTGAAATTTAACTTTCAATTTCAATTACTGCATTTGTGGCAAGCCATTATTACATGTATTCCTTTAAACTAATAGGTATCTATTTTTATGTTAGGCTACTACTTAATTTCAGTTTCTAGGATGAAACCCAATAGTGACCAGAAGCAAAGGAATAAGCAACTCTTCCTTTGTTATTGTTACTGTGGTTCAAATATAAACTATTCACTTCCAACAAGTTCTCTAACTGTTGCTCCATTATCTAGTTTTACTATTATTCTATTCATTAGATCTACTAGTAATTACTGGTATTAGCATCCAGATTGTTGCAAGTATACATTTCAGATTTTCTGACATTAGTATCCCATTCCAACTGTTATTAGTAACATTTCTTGTGTAACTACTAGTCAAAATGGCTAAATTATAGTTTCATTAGTTTTAGCAAAAATAAATAAATAAATTAAAAAAATGGAAAATGGAAATGGGCTATTAATAAATAGAGGATGAAAACTAGGTAATAGCACAACCAAATGCACATAAGCTGTGAATAGTCCATATCTGAACCACAGACCTGCAAAGAAATCTATGGAAAAGCATAATAGTTTGTCACTAACAAATAATTACAAGTAGATACTAGTATTTAATCAATAAATGAATTATGTGCTTGTTCGTTTAAAGGAATAAATATGAATACAGCTTGCCATATTTCACGTGTTTTCTGCCATGCCAACTTTCGGACAGTTTGGCTATTGATTTGACAGCTGTGAACACTCCTAAAATGCGCACGCTTCTCTCTAGTATTGATACGTTTTCTCTACGAACTCTGCATAATACGAACAGACAAAATACACACAACACTGGTGAGATATTCTTAAAAACCAGTTTAAATTTCAGATTTATTTGAATTCTAATGTCCCGCGAGCTTTCACTTACAGATCACTTTCATACAACTTTACGTGCAGAACAGTAAATCATTAATACTTACCAGAAGAGCTGAAGTCAGACATACTACAACTCCTACCATTAGTAACCTAAGTGACAGGACAACCATCACGAGTCGGGTTTTCTCAACTGAAAGGCGAGAAACAGAAACTATAATCCAAGTGTGGATGTTTCACTGCGCGCCTGTCTTCTTTAAAAGTGTTGCGCACTAATTCTTAAACAAGACACATTTAAAGACTGGTTTAAAAGTAAGCAAAGAGTAGGCTAATGAATAAAGTTAAAAGTTGTAGAACTTGGGTCAATGCCTCAGTTTGTTAAACTTATAGGAAAGACATCCCTCTGAAGAACTGAGGTGGTCAAGTTGAGTTGAGCTGGCTGGACAGAGCCTTGTCTGAGTTCTAACCTGGCACTTCGCGCTGACTAATAAACTACAGACCAGCCCTACAGTGACGTCTCTGTCTACCCTTTCCCAGGGAAGCACATGGTGGGTGGGGGGAGAAGAAGAAAAGGAATATCCAAAGAAAACACATGGTGATGCTTTTGTCAAAGCTAGCTGGTGTGAATAGTGGAGCTATTGAAGTCAGAAGAGGTCTGAGATCCTACAGAGGTAAACTGTCTGCTCATGTTATATTAACTGCCTAACATAATAATATTGCATGGCATAAAATATCGCTAGTTTTGATTTCAATATGTTCGGGGTTAAAATATGTTCATTTGTATTGTTTTTTTGTTTTGTTTTTGGGTTTTTTTTTCAAGTAAGTTGATAGACTAATATTAAAACAAATATAATATTACAGCTTGGAGTGTTTTAAAATGATTTGTTTTGTATTCAACAGCAGAGAATACATGCCTCTCCCATCTCAATCAACATGTAATTGCCTTCTACAAGGTCTTTATTCTAGACAAAAACTACTGGGTTAAACAACTAATTTCTGCTGTTCTAATTTCTTTCTGAGGAATGTGTCAATACCTCTGAAAAGTAAAAAAAGAAAAAAAACTGATATAATAACAGACTGTTTGGAAGAAATTGGCAGTGGTTCCATTCCCTAACATAATAACAGAACCTCTCATCTCTTCTTATCACTTTTCTCAACCTCTTTGTTGTCCGAGTCTGTAAGACAATTTTGTTTAGCACTTTAATGAATTAATTTTTTTACATCTTAGCCAAAATAACACTGGGCTACCAGCAATTTTGTTCCTCATATCCATGCAAAGACCACCTGCAGTTCGTACCTTTGTTTCTTCTCTTCCACACTATTCCAGGTCTTTCTGATGCCTTCAAGGCCATGTGTCAGTTCAAATGCATTACAGGTGAGTTGTAAGCAGAGGTAATCTGATCACCTTCACATCTGTAGACCTTATGTTTCCCTCATCCCAATTTAGGCATGCCTTCCACTGTCTGAGTATGTTCCCAGACCAAATCACTCAATAATATCTCATGTTAAGTGTCGACTGTCTACAAAAAAAGCAGTTTTTGTATGTTTTACAATACAAGCAAAAGCCAATTTTTTTAAACTTAATTTTAACCTAAGAATTTGGAGTGCGTAACTGTAAAATTACGGTATGAAATTCACAATACGTTGTTTTATCTATTTACTTCTGTAAACATTTTGCTCTTATTTATGGAATGAAATATATGATACATGCAACTCTTCAATGGATAACACTCATAGAATCACAGTGTTTCTCTTTCCCTGTGGTCCTAACTCTGGCTTCCCTCCAAGTGTTACCGGTCTGCTGCTGAAATGGTATATGAAATTCCAGCAGTATTGTTATCGTTGATTAAAGAGGTGCTCAGAGGTCCTGAGAATCTGTCTGCACTCAGGTCCATGCACTCTGAAGCTTTTATAGGAAGGTAAAATTGAATGTCAGCAACCCTTTTGTTTTGTGCCTAAGCTTTGGCTCTGTAAAGCAGACTCCAGCTGAGAAATGAGGTTGTAAAGTGGTCAATGAAACAATAAACTATTTGCAACTTTGCTGACATTAAGAGCCATACTACTCATGAAAGACATTTAAGTTTAAGTCATATCACCTGTTTCGTCTTTCAGCCAGGCATTTCTCAACACAAAGCTTGTTTTTAGCTTGTTTTTAAACACAAGACTTGAATGAAATACATTACCTTAAACTGTAACCATATAGTCATGCGTTTTGAGGTTAATGCGAAATGAGTACCATTTCCGTAAATAATTCAAATGCTTTGGTCTTTCAAAACAAGGCACTTGTGGTTCGTCTAATGGGTGGCACCAAACAGCAAATTGGAACGGATAGACCTTCCTGACCTCACAGAGGACATTCTGATTGCTATGAAATATTTGAATGTCAAGCTGTCCAGTTGCTGCCATCCCATCTTTGTTTTCAAACAAAACATTAGGAACACAATAGCAACTGGAGGCATGCAGAAGTCACAATGTGCATCTCATTGATTTGACCTCCTGAGGGCTGAATGGAAGTTTTTGTCCATGCTCATCTTTGAGTCAAAGAAAAGAAACACCAATAAAAATTTGCCATAAAGGATTTTCACAAAGGGAAGCACAACACATTTTGCCATTTCAACCTTACTTGTCTAATTATCAAGGCAAGACCATTTTTTATACAGTCCCTTTTATCCTCTGGCGTTAAGATATTCTAAAAAAGCAAGATATTTGTAACAATGTTATAATTATTATCAATTTTATAACTTTAGAGGATATTGTGAAATTTTAAATGAATGTTTGTGTTATCCATTAATTGTGTTTCCCACAAGTTTTCAGCGTGTTTTCAACAGTCTTCACTGACAAATCAGAAATACCACAGCACTGGGTAGCCTATGAATTTAACAAACACAAAGTTATACATTTAAGGTGATAATGTGTTAATTTGTGTTTTAACTCAATATGCATTCGGAAATGTTCGCCGGTTCCCGCCTCCTTCTTCCCATAACAACTGAACCCTGTTACGTTGGTAAAACCTGGGCCAAACCCGGGAAGGAGGAGGAACGCGCTGTGGGGAATCCGAAATCCAGAATACTGAACTTAAAATTCCACTTGCAGAATTATCTAAAAATAATAATAAACTAAATACTATTGCTGCTATAGTCTATATAGATATTCACATATGAGTAATATGGTGAAGGGCACAGTCAACACTCAAGTGTTCAAAGACCAGCTTATGTACAGTATAGCAGCCTATAGAAATGGCCGCTAATGGGGCATCCATGTGTATATCTATGTTAGTACAGTTTCATGTAGACAGCTTTACTGAAAACAGATTCTAAAAAAAAATAGGATTTCCAGTGACCATTTTAGACCAGATGACTTTGAAGTGATAGTTCACTTTGAAATTAATTTTTGATATGTTTTAGCTTACCTCAAGGGCATCCAAGATGTAGGTGTCTTTGTTTCAGTATTTTCAATTTTGACATTTTTCGGTCAAACCAGTGTTGTCTGTCAGTCATACTGTATAATGCCGTTTTAGCGGGTCCACCTCAAAGAGCATGCACAGAGAAGTCAAAATTAAACATGAGTCAATGACTCGTGAATGTAAGTACACACTGATGGCCTAAGACTGGACACAAAATCAACCAATTGGATACAGCCTCAAATTGGCTGTATTTCTTATCAATGACCTCTTTTGATATGTAAATGTAAGAATTGCTGGGAAATGGAATGCCCCACAGTCATTTGGATCACATTGGTGAAAAGCGCAGGCTAAAGTACCACAACAAAATTTGAGTTTTTTTGGGTGAGGATGCTTAAAGGGTTAGTTCACCCAAAAATGAAAATTAAGTCATTAATTACTCACCCCCATGCTGTTCCAACCCCGTAAGACCTTCATTCGTCTTCGGAACACAAATGAAGATATTTTTGATTAAATTTGAGAACTGTATAACTATCACATAGACTGCCTAAGGGACTGGCTCTTGACGGCCCAGAAAGTCAATGAAGAAAATGTTTAAATATTCCATGTGACTACAGTGGATCAACTATAAGTTTATCAAGCGACGAGAATAATTTTTGTGCGAAAAAACAAACAAAAATAACGACTTTATTCGACTATTCCTTTTCTTCCTTGATGAAACGAGACTTCAATACGATTTCCACGACGCATGCCCGAGAACTGAAGTGAACTAGTTGAAGGAGATCGCAATTCTCGCGCATGCTTCGTGGAAATCGTATTGAAGTCTCGTTTCAGGCCAACAAGGAAGAAAAGGAATAGTCGAATAAAGTTGTTATTTTTGTTTGTTTTTTCGCACAAAAATTATTCTCGTCGCTTGATAAACTTATAGTTGATCCACTGTAGTCACATGGAATATTTAAACATTTTCTTCATTGACTTTCTGGGCCGTCAAGAGCCAGTCCCTTAGGCAGTCTATGTGGTAGTTATACAGCTCTCAAATTTAATCAAAAATATCTTCATTTGTGTTCCGAAGACGAACGAAGGTCTTACGGGGTTGGTACAGCATGGGGGTGAGTAATTAATGACTTAATTTTCATTTTTGGGTGAACTAACCCTTTAAAGTAATTACCAGCTAACGTCAGTCAGTTAATTTACAGAGAAGTTCTCTTCAGCTTAGCTGTGGTCAAATCAAAGTTTACTAGCAGAGCATAATAGAGGCCAGATCGCTGCTTAACCCATCACAAAAGGGCAAAAGATTGCGCATGAGAGCACTTGTTCAGTCATGCTGATTGTGCAATAAGTAAATTCTTCATATTGCTCAATAAAATCATGATGGTTTCCAGGAAAAACAATATAACATTGTCCACATTTACATTACATAGAAAGTGAGTAGACTAACTTTCAGAATCTATAAGGCTGATCAAAAAAAAAAAATGTGGGGGGCGTACGTCAGAGGTTTATGAAATGTACTGATTATATCTTTCAGAGGAGAGGTATATAATCAATTATTGAAAATAAATTCACATTTTTCATTTCATTTACTTGTAATCATCTCTTTTGACAATAGACACAAATAATAGCCTATTACAACCTCCTGTTTGTTAGGAGGCTTGGTTGATTTATCTACAGGACCAGGGTCTGTGGGACAATTACAAACAGGAGTTGATAGGTTTGAGCAGAGAGACATGGAAGCTATGGTAAATTATGAGATGATCTCCGATGTGTTTTTTCTTGATTTTTAGGTTTCTACCTTAGTCAATGGTTTTTAAACGTACAGTATGCAATTTTTGGCCACCAGGGGTCACTCATTTAAAATAATAACAAAAGACGTACTTTGATGACGTCGGGAAAGAGCGTGGGCTCATGGGAGTTGTTGTCGCTGTCAATGACAACCAGCTCAGCTCATGACATGACATCATTGTTTCACAAAATATACAGATATACGGCATCTCTCTGTAGATTTAGCTTGTCAAGAAGCTTTAAATGCAACCCCAATGTTTACCTGTGTCATGCTTCTCCTGT